AGGAATCGACCGTTATCATGGTGCCCGCATAAGCGTTTTGCGGTGCTTAATCTTGCTTGCACCCGAGGGCGACAGAGAGCAAGCACGTTAGTGAAACACGACCCGGCCAAAACTGAAGCTGTTATAATACACACAACCGGCAGAGAAGAAGGGAGGCGGTGGGGGGGGGGGGGGCTACCGTCCTCCGCCGTTCTGGGGAAAAATAAGTAAAACTGGAAGACTTCAAGCTCGATCAGGTGATGGACTACACTCGCGCGCGGGGAGACACGAATGCGCGCACATACCTACCCACCGTTGTCATAGAGCATCTGGGACGGGAAACACTACGGAAGCAGGAGTGGCAGCGGCGATGGCAGCAGCAGGCAGGCAGGCAGGCATGGCCGCGGTGTGGCACGCCGGCACGAGAAGCGGGAATTGATCGGTGCGGGGACTGGGGTCGCGGAAACGAGGGACTGCATCACCGGAAGGAGGAAGAAGAAGCAGGCAAGGAGGGAAGAACGGGTGGCAGACCCCCACCCGCTCACACTCTCTTCCTCGTCTCCGCTGAGCTCTTTCGCTGTGCCCGTGCATTTCAAGTACAGACTGGTACCACCCCGTGAGACGTGAAGGGCGTCCCCCCCACCCCCCCAGCCTCCTTCCTCTCTCGTCCCTCTTTCATGTTCACCGGTCTTGACTCGCTTCTATCCCACGCGTTGTTCTCTCTTTCTCTCTCTGACTCTCTCTGTCCCTGAATTTCTCTCAATGTGTGGTGGTCCCTTCTGTGAATCTGCTACACGAGTGCACACGTGATCGCATGGTAGCCGGGAGTCAGTGTCTTGTTGTCGTTGTCGTTGTTGTCTGCTGCGTGTTTTACAGTAATCGTTCGCCCTTCTCCAGCATCGTAATAGAGTTGCACCGCCGTGTTCCAAGATTGACAGCACCGTGTTGTAGCTAGAGGTACACCGGACCAAGAAGCGAGGCCTGTGCCACCTCTTACGGGTCCATGCCGCGTGCCTCCGGGAGTACGGTGCTTGTTTTATTTGGTCCCTTGGGTAAAAGCAAGCACTGCCTTCTTTGCTTGACTCACCCCTCGAAGACTTCCCGCAGCTCTTCCGGCGAGCACGTGAAGGCGATGTTGTCGACCTTCAGCGTCACCTGCGAGGAAAATGGGGGTGGATGGGTGGGGGGGGTGTATGCCGAACCGGAGAGAGGGCATGAAGCGGGGGGCAGGGGGGAAGAGGGAAGGAACATCGATTGCGAACCGCGCGTTCGAGATCGGAGGAAAAGGGTGTGCTCCAGTGATCCTTGCCCTTCGAGCATGATCACCGCTCCTGCTTCTACTGCTGTTTAGAGTCACTCCCAGAATCTTCCCCAAAAGAGAAAACGATGCTAGTTCATAACATGCGCGAGCCCTCGCTTGTCTCCCGCGCCAGCCACACAGCATCCAGCAGGTGATAGCTACCGCTGTACAGCAGTACAGGTGTGGGAGCAGCTGTCATCACCATCCACTCACCATGCCGTCGATGTTAGGAGGTCCGCTCCCTCGCTTCTCGATGAAGCGTCGGGCCGGCCGAGGATCACGCCAGGGCGTACGGGGGAGAGAAAAGAGGGGGGGGGGGGGGGGGGGGG